AGACAAGACGGACACAGTGACCAACAAGAAAGGAGACAAAGGGAGACGAGCCGGACGGAAGGCGGACACTCTCAGAAAGCATTGAGAACCACCAACAGAACCACTAACATGGGAGACAAACGAATACTGTAGATATGCTGCATGCCAGTGGAAATGGGCGGACACCAGCAGTGCAGGCACCGAACCTGGGAGACATAAGTGCAGAGATCAGGGAGACAAAAGTAAAGAAATCACCTGGGAGACATATATATATATACATAGAAATGCTGCAAGGCCAGCGGAAAAGCGCGGACGCCAGCAGTGCAGGCACCAAACCTGGGAAACAAAAGTAAGCAAATCACATGGGAGACAAATGAATAGAAATGCTGCATGGGCAGCGGAAAAGGGCGGACACCAGCAGTGCAGGCACCGAACCTGGGAGACAAAAGTAAAGAAATCACATGGGAGACAAGCCAATAGAAATGCTGCATGGCCAGCGGACACCAGCAGCGCAGGTACCGAACCTGGGAGACAAAACTAAAGAAATCAGGACGACATAAATAAAGAAATCACCTGGGAGGCATGAGTAAAAATGCTGCATGGCCAGCGGAACAGGGCGGACACCAGCAGTGCAGGCACCGAACCTGGTCCTGGTATACGCTAAACAAACAGACTTGTTCAAGCTTCTACATCAACCAGGTTGGTGGATCCGTTAGTGGTTCGCCAACATGTTGGTGATGGGTCTGGTGGATTGGTTGGATGCCCAGCGTTAGTTTTGGGCTCTATATACAATCTACAATCTCTCCTGTACCACTCCAGGTCACCTCAAGGATAAAGCGCTGGCTCTTGGGCAGGTTTGTCCCCTTTGATAGCTATGTGATTATCGCATGATTATCACTTGGAGGATGAGCTTAGGTATGAGCTTCAAAAAGTATCCTCCACTTTGTGTTTTATGATGGTTCAATATGAAATACAGTTATAGTGTCCATGTCATGCGCCGAGTTTTTCCAGCTTCCAGAGACAGATCCTGTTGATTCCACAGACCGGACCGCCCAGCTCGCGGACCGCCCGCCTCGAGTCCGAGGAGTCGTTGGTGAAGTCGGTGAACTCTCCAAACCATTCAAAAGACCCTAAGATTCCTTCGATCCTGCGCTGTCGGACCCTCTATCATCTAGAGCAGGGGTCCTCAAAACATCTCACGTCGCCCTTTCCATTGGTTCGGGCCTGGATTCTTGGCGCCCATCGCTTGCTCACATCTCCCGTGTGAGTTCAACAGGTCAACGCCTGTTGACCTCATAGAGCTTTGCGGGTGTCTTCACGCTCTTCGCAGGGATACATCTTTCGGGTCACCGCCGGGTAGAAATGCTTCTCGAAATGTGCGCATAGAGCTTGGTGATTTGTTGTGAGCGCAGCAAGATGGGAATCTCGGATTTGTTCTCGCCTGGGCTCCACCTGACTGAGCCTAAGGATAGATGCTCCGGACACGGACTTTGTCTCCATCCCAGCCAGAGCCTCAGTTGAGTGGACGAGGGACCAAAAATGAGGGGAACCAAGCGCACGACCAAATGGTTTATGAATGTATATAAGCCTTTGTTTGACATGGTTCAATAAAATTCAACATTATACTTCAATGATACTCTCATGCTGACTAACAGCATGGGTGTGTCCAGATCCAGCCCCCTGAAAGGCCAAGTGTTCCCCCCTGAGACCTCTACAGAAACGCGATTCTTTGGTCAACTGTGCACAGAGTGCATCAGAATAGAGACAGAAGAATATGCAATATCCGAGTGGGTAGTGCGACTGCGAGGAAGTGGGTGTTTCGCATAAAAGAGCCCCGGGCCCCCTGACCTTTCTAAAAATTGCACCGGCATAGAAGACCCCAGATGGCGGGTGTATAGGTTTGTCACCCCTGGCACGACATGATGTCATTCCTGGCCATGACATGATGTCATTTTGGGCATGACATGATGTCATCCCTTGCAATGCATGATGTAATCATCCCTGGACAGCACCAGCACCAGCACGAGAGCAGCGCCCGCAAAACGAAACGCCGCGCCGAGCAAGAGCCAGCGCCTGCACCAGCGCGGCACCAGCGCCGGCAAAACGAAAGCACCAGCACCAGCACCGCAGCAACACCGGCAAAACAAAACGCCGACCCAGCACCAGCACCAGCACCAGCACAGCAGCAGCCTGCACGTGCACCAGCATCAGCACGGCAGCAGCACCTGCAAAACCAAAACGCCGATCCAGAGCCAGCGCTTGCACCTGCACCAGCATCAGAACGGCAGCAGCACCCGCAAAACCAAACGCCTGTCCAGGAGCCACACCATTGAGAAGTTAGAGCCCCTATAGCTTGCAGCTGTCTGGCAAAAAGACATTTTGTTACATCCATGAACCGAATGGAACAAATTTAGGATCATGATGGATCATGATTATCATGGCTTGTCTTGGACCATGAAGGTCTGAGTTGGTCTTGGGAATGTGTCCATCTGCCACTCGGATTGATCTCGGGCGAACCAAGGCAAACAACAGTAACCAACAAAAAACCTTTTGCCCAAGATGCAAATTGCACTCAAGTTGCTCTCCCGTTTGTGACAATGTCAGCAGGAGTTTTTCATTCAGTGCTTCTGCAAAGTGATGGGAGTGCTGTTGCTTGCGGAGAGAACAGACATGGACAATGCAACATTCCACCTTTGGAGGAGGGTGTGTGCTACACCCAAGCTTCTGCAGGGACAAACCATTCACTGCTTCTGCGAAGTGACGGGAGTGCTGTTGCTTGCGGACTGAACGATGATGGACAATGCGACATTCCACCTTTGGAGGAGGG